TATTTTTCGTGGAGTTATTTTAACTCCAAAAAGGAGTTTAAAGAACTCTTTTTCAGGAGTAAAAGTGACCCCAGATATTGAGGAGTTAAAATAACCCCAAAAAAGGAGTTATCCTGTACCTAAAATTTTTACTCCACTTTCAGAGTTAAATTAACTCCAAAAAGAGTAAAAACAACCCATGTAAGGAGTACAAGTAACCCCATTTCGGAGTAATTTTAACTCCAGACTGGGAGTAAAAAGAACTCTTTTTCAGGAGTAAAAATGACCCCAAATTCGGAGTTAAATTAGGAGTTAAAATAACCCCAAAAAAGGGGTTATCCTGTACCTAAAATTTTTACTCCATTTTTGGAGTTATAATAACTCCCTAAAAATTACGGTGGAAGCATTAGAACCATTAGTTTAGTGCGCAGTTTCATTAAAGTGTTGATTTATATGAATAAAAATCTGACCGGTCGCTTACGAGAGCTTAAAAACAAAGGAAAAGTCCAGTTGGGTAATACCAAAAGTGGTGGCGGTCGCTTACTAGAGCTTTTCATAATAAGTTGAAGTCACAGTTCAAACGGGATTTCACAAAGGTGGTGGTAACTAGCTAGAGCTGGTCGCTTACGAGAGTGGTCGCAAGGAGAACTTCGACTGTAGTCTACGTTGTTATTGTTATTGTTTTTGCTGACCCGAAAGTTCGTTACATGCTCCAAAAATAAACACTCGGAGGTAAATTCCAAGCGCATATTTGACATGACTTGTGCTTTGAAGTGCGTTCTGGTCGACTGTGATAGGTTAAAAAAAACACAATCTACAGTCGCGCTTTGAATATTAATCTTCATTCATCCTGTTCTCCTTGGCAAATATCGGCAAAAACACGTGTGTTTTTTTGCACATCGTGGCAGAGATGACGGACAAGTGCCCCTGGACGGGAAAGTACATCGTGCAAGAATATATCCCAGACGCTCTGACTATGGGATATTATTTCTAAGAATTTAGCAGCAGAAGGCCCAGGCAAATAGTTCATCATCGAGTTTGTTTTTGATTACTTGTGAAGCGATCTGCCATTTTCACGCAACAGCGATCGCAAGAGAGAGAAAAGTGTGGTTTCATTTACGTATGAGCAGAGTATGACTTGCAGTCTCACAGAGTTGGACGACATTGCGCATGAGCAGACCATTACCTGTAGGCAGTTATTTGCAGGTCACGTGGTGGGTTCTCGGCCAATGAAAAGGAAGATCTATTTGCGTCAAATGATAATTGACTTTAATTGATAGGTCAGGGCCGTGGCTTGGGAGCCCTTTACCCCCTTACCCTTCCTGTTGTCAGAAGGGGTATCCCTTTCGCAGAAACCATCGTTTGAAGGCTCACTTTGTTGAATATTTTTTCGTATCAAAGTATTTTCGTCAGCAGTCCGTGTATAAACAACATATTCGGTCCTTCTCGCTCCGAAAGTCGTCTATGCAGCTATCCCGTAGGCTTTTCCCTCCCCTCACGCTCGCTGCTCATCCGAAAAAATGTCACTTTTCTAAAAACACTGCAAGGACGTCGACAAGACAATACGATGAGTACCCTGGGTGTGTCATAATGTTACATCCCCCCCCTCCCTCTTTGAAAAGTCTTAGCTACGCCCCTACACATGACGATTGGTTCATGCTCTGAACTTTCTGTCAAACGTACAAAAACAGCAACAACGACAACAACAATGACAACGGAACTGTTGATGAATTATTTTTTCAAGCGACTGGCTTTCACGATGGAGATGCGCGCCTTCAGCGCGAAAATGAATCTGTGTTTTGACGTTATGCTAAATTTTTCCAAATTAATGCGCACCATACATTCCTCCATGACTTGTTTATTTCAGTGTGGACGTTGTCAATGTTTAACATTCAAAAGATGCAATAAAATTCAAACTGAAATGTACTAGTCATGGAGGTATGTATGGTGCGCATTAATTTGGAAAAATTAGCATAAAGTCAAAACGAGGATTTGAATCAATCTTAACGAAAGGTACAGACATTAATATATACATCGTGAAGATTATGTAATGAGGTCTAAAAACAATTCTGTCGAGCCGTTCTAGAGATATACAGAAAAGCGCTAAAAGTAGGGATTTAGAATAAAGTTGCACTTAAACAGGTGGTGAGCAGCATTCTGACTAGAGCTTGTTCGCAGGCTAAAATGCCCCATTCCCTATAGCTTCTCCACTCACCGAAAACCAAATATGGCCTGTTTGAAAGCGTTTGGTTCAAATGCGTTCCTGTCTAGCTTAAATGTTGCACTCACCTTGTAAAGAGACATTTATCGGTATGTCTGTCAGATCATTGATCACATAATCAAATGTCTTTCCCAGTTCCACGTACTCCTTGAGTGCCTTTATACAATCATCAATCCTGACCTGTACCATAAGTAGTATATAAGATTGCGCTGTAAGCTCAAAATCAAACTAGGTTTTTTGAGAGAGCTCTTGAATGCTCTACGTTACACAAGCGCGAGGCACCTCCCCTAGTTGCGTTCGACGTAAGGAGAACGCAATTCCTATTCTTGGCAATCCTGTGGTACACTGTATTGATTTTCTCTCAGGGTGATTACACTGTAAGGTGACCATTTCAGCAAGATAATGTTTCATGGTAAATCGAAGAAAACGTGAACGCATACATTGATCTATGATTACTACTAGTTACTGCGGGCGATGTCCAAGAGGAGCCTGCAATCCTAATCGCCAGGTTGTTATTACGCATGCATCGCATGTATGTAGCCAGCATTCGTTTGGACTTCCACTAAGAATGTATGTAATGCACGAAACGCAATTTGATCACGTGCGCATCGACCTTGTACCTCTCGTCTTCTGATCACAGCGTTGAAACAAAAGCGTTTGGACCTCCTATCGTTGTCGCCCACACTTCCCAACCTTTGGTTATTACTAGTTTAATAGTCTAACATCCTTTCTACAAATCTGCAATGTTCCCACGAATATTAACGTTAATGTACGCTTCTCTCACTAGCTATGACTGAGCTACTTTGGAGAAAAGAAAACTTCGAAGAAAAACTGCTTGACGGAAGAGGCGGTCTATTTGGCGGTAACGTTCATTAAAAAATCCGGTTAATAGATACATCTATTCCCATATTTTGGTTTTCTTTGATCCGTTGTAACGGTACGCAGTTTTCACTGGTACTTTGACTACCACTTCAGTAAAGGGTCTGTCATCAACTACACGTCCTTGTTTGCTTAAAATCACAGCTTCGCGCCAAAGAAATATGCCTCCCAAGAATTATATCAATCGTTACAAACAACAAAAATGAACTTTGAAAAACTGTTAGGCTAACAAGTTTTCAAAAAACCACAATTGCAATCCGTTTTAATCTTCTTCAAGTTTGTTCTATCGCGCCTCCTTTTGTATTTTGTTGTGTTATTTATACTTTCTATTAATGTTTTTTTTTTCTGTTAATTGGCCAGTTGGTTTTTATTGCAGCTTTACAACACTAGATCAGAGACACTTTAAATTCAGTAAGTTTAGTTAATACTCACTTCATAGTTGGTTCCTGTATACGAATCTAACGTGTCGCCGCAAACCCCTCGCAAGTGCTCCGCTGAAGCTTCGACAACAACTTTATCTATGTAATGGCACGTTAAGGGAAATCAGGAACATGAGTTAATCGGTAATTGTCGGCAAGAATTAAACATTTTCTTAGGAAAAAATGGGGCTTTATCGCCTGAGATACTTAAATACTGAATATTAAATTTAATATTCATTATTTCATCTTCACCTTTCCCGGGTGTATGCAGTTGTCTTGCTAGCTCAGTTGGTTAGAACGCTGCACCAGTCAGTATCACAGAAGTCAGGGTTTGAATCCCGGCAAGCCTAAAGTTTTCCAGGCCTTCTTTTCGCAACTGCATGGACCAAATGCCAAAATGGCTGCTGGATTAATATTCTTTGTTTAAATTAAGATCAGCCTGACAAGACTCGCTTTAAGACAAGGTATTCTTTTTTTTAGGCTAATTTGAATACGAACAAAAGAATATGAATTACTGTGGCCATTTTTGCATTGGGTCTATAACCTGCGACCTTAACTACGAGGATCTTGATACATTTATTTATGAGATTACAAAGTAACTTTCCCACAGTATAAAGACTGACCATTTCGAAAATTGTGAGTAACGAGTTCAATTCGACTATAAGTCTCTAACGTGGTCTAAACGTCTAAGGCATTAATTTTTTGGATCAATTTAGATTTCTGGGAAACTGCCCACCGAACCCTCCCCTGACCGCAACATTTTGCCCTAAGTGAGAGGTAAGTGTTGTGTAGGGAGCTTTAGCAACGACGACGGCGACGGGAACTAGGACGTCAAAAAAGCAATAGATTTATTACGCAAAACAACAACTTTCCACGTGCATCACACTTTTTTGTACATTTCTCTACCGTCCTTGCACGAGTACGACGTCAAAATGCCTAATTGCAAGTTTTATGGAGGACGTAAACAAACGACGACGAATCTCTTTTTCTCTCTCTAAATTTGAGTGCGGTCCTCTAGAAATCGACTCCAGGGAAATCCGCCTACATTTGCCATTTTCAGCAAATTGGAATAAACGCGACAAAGATTGAAAAAACGGGAATTCATTTTAAAACTGACGTTTTCGCTGCCGTTGCCGTCGTCGATGCTAAAGCTCCCTAATGTTGACTTAGAGGAGGGGTAGGTGGTCAGTCTTCTAGAAACCTAANAGCAAATTGGAATAAACGCGACAAAGATTGAAAAAACGGGAATTCATTTTAAAACTGACGTTTTCGCTGCCGTTGCCGTCGTCGATGCTAAAGCTCCCTAATGTTGACTTAGAGGAGGGGTAGGTGGTCAGTCTTCTAGAAACCTAAATTGCTCCGCATTTTTTTGTTGTTGTTTTATTAGCTAGTATTTCAGGTCATAAGTGGAAACATGGGCAGGGGTGTAGTTAAACACTCGTCGAACTCCGTTTAAATAACCGGCCTTTAGTGTTTGGATGTCCTTTTTAACTAAATATATGACCCATGTTTTAATTAATATCGGGGTGTTTGAGTGTATTCATACTTAAATCAAAACTTAGTGATAATTCACGTGTCAGATATTGTGTTAACCTTCTTGCAGGCACTTCTAACTTGCAACAGTTTTTCAAGGATATCTCGACCATGGTGACAAATTTTGGGGATTCCTTCAGTAGCTCATGCAGTACCCCGCCATCTCCTCCTCCTAAAATGAGTATTTCTTTATCTTTGTAGTTTTCTCTGCCATTTCCAAGCAGTGCTTTTGTGTAAACAATATCTCCTTCTGCTATCACTGTGAAGACAAGTAAGGTCAGTCACTTAAAGCACAGGACAGGTAAAGGTACAAATAGGAAAAACAATACAAGAAAGAGCCATTTCTTTAACAATAATGATCACTCTTGCTCCAAAATACTAGGACATAGCGAAATAGTTCAAAGAAAGGATTCTGACACTGGAGTCAAGCTTTAAAAAATGTTATGGATCTCCAAACGGCCTAAACATATCAATGGATGGACTAAATAAAGTGTTGTTAGGTGGAAGTTCATTCTGTTTGTTGTAATATAGTTTTCAAAGCAAATTATTTTTGAGATTTTTTCTACAACTATTAGAACAACTGCTTCTATTTTTTAAATGCCTCCTATCTACATGTATTGAATGCCCCAACTTAGGCTCAACAAATTAAATAGACACCCCTGACGTTTATTAGACTACATGTATTTACAATAATTTTTATTCGCAGCTTGCCCTGCACCTTGCAAAAACATCCAATGCACCTTACAGAATAAAATTAGTAAGGGCTTAATAATAGCCTTCAATTCTCTTGGTTCACACTGTCCCTGTTTCTCTGATCAATTTACAGCCAAAGAGTAAGATCTGAATTAACAGTAGGTACATATTTCATGTACATGTAAATGTACCATGATCTACGAGATCTTGGATCACTGATCCTAATCCCGATCATCCTAAAGGAACACAACCATAGGGAGGAAAATAATACTCCAGACAATTGCATATGCTCAATATAAATTGTAACAAGATATAAATAGCATTCTTCCTTCTTTTAAGCAGCTGTTTCAGAGCAGAAAACTTTGTTCACAGTGCAAGATTTTGTTATTTAAAAAAACAGATGAATGTCTACTTACTGCAAGGCTCAATTCCACTTACTCTCATTGAGATCCAGAAATAGCATGTTTCCAAAACGATTAGAATGCACTATCCAGATATCCTGATATTGTGATTTGTGTCTGAATACTTCCCTGTAATTACAAGACAAGGGAGGGGAAAACAAGGTCATAAGCAGCTACTTGCATGTACCATAAATCCTGTATTGCAAGTAAATTCTCCCTCTAATTTAACCCCTCTCCTTTCCTGGAGAAGAAACTTAAGCCCCCTTCCCCTCAACATCTGCACGCAACATTCGTTGCTCAGCAAATATAGCAAATATGTTGCATGATGGGATCTTTACAAATTTTCTGTTCAAATGGGTTTTTCATTTTGTGAACTGAAAGTATGCTTAAATTCCTAAGCTTCTTCATGATGCAGAATATTAGATATAAATGGTGGCCAAGAAAGCTGTCATGTATACATGATTCTTTTGATATATTTTTCTTAGTATGTGAACAGCCCTTGTGTTAGAAAATGTATTTTTCATCATACTTAACCTTTAAGTCCCAAGAATGACCAACATACACATGACATACTTTGTAATATCAATATAATGTATGTAACATAATCATGTAGACAGATTACAAGAATTAATAAAATGATCACCAAAGAGAACATAATTTGATCTTTCAACATACACTTGAATGAAATGAACGGAGATCAATCCAGGGGCAGATCCAGACCTTTAGATAAGGGGGTGGGAGGGGGAGGGGGTGCGGTCATCCAGACCCTGAGATGGGCAGGTGGTCTCAAAAAAATTTTTTGGGCCTCAGTTTGGTCTAAAATTAAGGGGGGGGGGCCCTTCCCCTGGATCCGCCACTGCAATTAGTCTGGAGATTTTGTATGGGGATCTTCAAGGGGTTTAATTAGAGTTACACTATAAGAGATGTACTCATGCTTCCACACATGTAGCAAAACTAAATGACATGCTTCTGTTGGTTTACAGATGGTGTATCGATGGCCCGTAAATAGATACAAAAATGGCATCTCCGGACAAAGGCCTAAAAATTTGGGCAGAACATTTGATTTCTCAGAGTATCTTGCAGATGAAAATTTGCGGGGACCTTAATCTTGGCTTTACTGTACGCTGTTTGCATAATTATTAATCCTACCAGATTCTTGGCTTTACCTATTGAACGATTTAGATTTTGATTTTTGATGGTATGACTGTGAAAACCAGCAATACTAACTTGTCAAAATCATACTCCTTAAATTGGCCATCTGATGTGTCATGATAGCATAGAATGTCCCGTCCTCTACAAATGGTAGGAATAAAATCTGCTTTCACACAAGACAAGGCTTCTTCAACCTTGTCTTTAAGGTCAGTGTAATCCTGTGAAAATAAATTCACTCAACTGTGAGCAATGAAAAAATGAAATAAAAATTCATGTAGTTGTATTCTTAATGGCATTGATAAGAATACTATGTGTTTTATAACTTCTATAAGTAGCCTGTGACATTTAATCTTCACTCAAGTTGAATTTGGGGGTCCAGGTGATTTTATTGCACTGCTATTTTGTGCTTCATGTATTGGATTTTTTAAAAAGGCATTGTAAGGGGGGTGGAGGGAGGAAGAAATGTTGACCTTATAGGGGTATCATGGTTTAACCGGTGATCTGTTAGTTTCCATTGTGGCTATGGACAGAAACAAATATTTAAAAAAACACACTGTAACAAGCAAGAATTCCAACTGCAGACTGTTTGTCAGTTAAGTCGCCAAGAAATGTAACAAAGAATTACCTGTCGACAGAGTAGTTTTTCTTCACTGACATCTTTGATGTACTGAATAATATCTAATGTTATGAGACCATCTGGAAATAATCGAAGGGTACACTCTCTGTGATTAAAGAAAACAATAATAGTAAGAAAGTTCTATGCAATTTTAATGGTAGGGTAAATGTATAGAAATAATCACTCACACGTCATTTACACCAGTAAACAGTGTAATAGAAGAAGTACTAAAGCAATTATTGGCTTGGAAGGTAGCTTTGATAATTTCACTGATTTTCTCTTGTGCTGGTTTCATCCATTTTCCAGAGGCATCTGGAGTGACACGGAAATCCAAGAATGATTGTTTCACCGACATGATAGAGCTTAATGTTACAAAAGTTACTGCAATAAAACAAAACTGGTGATTAGATAAAAGAATACAAGGAATAATGATTTTAAAAGACATAAACAAAAAACAATAAGGTTACGGTAGGCTAAATTTTATCTCAAGATAAATATGGGTGGATCCAAAAAATTAAAATTGAGTTGGATGGGACATTTGCCAATACTTTTTATTTTACTGAGAATTTTCTTAAAATAAATAGAAAATGCAGTGCATCAAGGAAAATGCAGTGGCCGCAGTCCCTTTGGCCCCACCTCTAAATCTGCCCATGATAAAACCTAAAGAACGGTTTACCATTTGCACCTACATGTATACCCAATACAGAAGTGTTGTGCATGTACGTGAGTGTTTATACCCCATGGGTGGGTATGTGGCAGGACAAAATTGAATTATAGGGGAAGATTTTTCAACATAGTTAATCATTAATTCACTAGGAATTTAATTTATTATTTATGCCTTAGGGCTAGGAGATAGGAAATAGGAGACAAGGGAAATTAAGCATCAACCTAGGCTAGAAAAATTTAATGTGAGTATAATTTTGACCAGCTGTAGGTACTCTTACACTACCCTGCATGTTTAAATGCTAAGAACTGATATCAGAAAACCTAATGACTAATTGATGGCTCTTAATTATGTTAGCGATTTTATTAATCACTCAACAGAAATAAGTTGTAATAATTTGGTTGATTTTGATCCATGCTGGTTTTTTTTGTTTCATGGTAATATCAATAAATTCAACATTTTTTGACAAAAATTGCTAATTAACAATTAATGAATGAGGCTGAGTATCTTATGAAGAATTACATGTATGGAGATCGAGGAGGGTGTTATCCATCAAGGTCGTAGGCCGAGGCGGATAACACCCTCCGAGATCTCCATAATTCTTCATACGATATGAAAGTCGAATTCAATAATTGTTTTATTATTCATTTAAAATAATTCCTAGTTTAAAAACATAGCTGAAACATGCTTACCTCCATCAATGTTAAGTTCATCTTCGATAGGGCACGTTTAGAGTTGTTACGCTATGCAAATATTCTCCAAATAGCAGATGTCACCCTTGGAGTTGTCTTCTTGCTGTTCTTTCCATGTTTTTAGCTATTATTTCACCTAGTTCTTACTCTAGAAATGAGTGAAATGTCTACCATTTTTGTTTTCACAACCAAGGAAGCTGTACTTTTGACGTCATCGATATCACTTGTCAAATGATTAATCGCAAAATTCTTCCAAATTTGGTCATCAGTAGCTGGTTATGGTGAATTATGCGTGTGCTTTTAGCCAATCAGAATCGGGGAAATATTTTGAATGAATAAAAATCCTAAATAAAAAATAAATACTAATAATTTATTATTATTATTATTATTATTATTATTATTATATAATCAAGAAAATGATAAATATAGCCATTAGAGCTACATATTACATCTTTTGTTGTAGAAATAGGAGTTGGGATAGCCCAGACTTAATGCAATTTTGATTTCTTTTCTTTTCTTTTCTTTTTTTTTTTTTTAATTTTTTTTTTTTTTTTTTTTTTTTTTTTTTTTGAATAATCCAATCTCAAGCAGCATTTATACGTAGCGAGATTTACAATTGTACATTCAAAAACACAAATAAAATTTCCATTATTATGATGATCGATTACTCACAAAAATTCTTTAATATTTGGCTTTTATTCATTTCCAATATAATAAACTTATATTATCAATTGTTATCGAACACGATTATCAATTTTATTAATTGAACACTCAGGGCTCAGGGCTGTACTAGCAGATTTGAGTACCAATTATTTTCTCGTTGCCTGCACGTGTTGGAGAATGACAAACAAACGTGGCACTTGCCACGCCGGCCTCTAACGTTTGGCTGATGATTTGAAATGCACGAGTTTAGAAGCTTCAGTTAGTCTAAAGCATTGTTATTTGGAACTCTGATCGCCTCATTGCATCGTGCAAATGCAAGACGCATGCTTAAGCCTGCTTAAGCTAAATGGCTACTAAGTACTCAGCAAACGAAGGAATCTTTGGCTATATAGCAACATTTTCAGTAAAATAAAATGTTAATCAACCTTACCGTTAGTATATGGTGGGTCTTCAACAAGAACTTCTAAATATATTTTCCGTTTTACCGTTGTAAAGCAAGAAAGCAATAAGGCGGTACAATGCCGTCCAACTCTGACCGGCGAGAGCTGGCACGAGTTTCACGTCACGCATTCCTCTCCAGTTATCATTAGAGAGTCACGTTTACGGCAAACTGCTAACGTCGGATTCGACTTGAGAATATTCTCGAAATTGAAAAGAAGAAGGTAAAAACTGTCCGGAACAACACTTATGGATAAAAATGGCGTGAAGCTATTTATTTTTTCGTAGAAGTAATAAACAGTAAACGACTATTGAGGTTGGAGTTGACCTTGTTTTTATCTGAACCCTTTCACTTCTGCTATGTCGTTCTTAAACTAACTAGTATTTTTAAAGCATAATTTCCTTAAGAAAAGGAAGGAAGTTTGTATCAAAACAAGGTCAACTTCAGCCTCACGTTCACTCAAAGGCTAGGATACTAAGCCCACAACTGTAAAATGGCTATTAGCAAAAAAGCAACTTTGCAAGAACGTCCACGAGGAGGGAGTGAAGGGAGGCTAGCACTAACATGGCAGAAAACCGGCTATCCAGTTGTTGAAACATGGGCTGTGGTATGCAGAGTGTGTTGGGGTATATCTGTCTGAATTCTTTAAAACGTGGTTGCATCCCAGGGATGTATACAACAACAACAACAACGCGCTTTATTTGCATGACCATACAAGTTAATACAGTATTGCAAAAGCTATTTTAAGAATCAAAATTACATCATAGGGCAATTACGTTACTTTGGTAATAATTTGTCACGAACATCAATACTTTATGAATTATATCATCAGCTCATTGATCAAAACGTTTACAGGTAACTGGGTAATATTTGGAATCAGAGTCTTGATTTTATTGTAAAAATTATTCCTAATCATAGAGTATGTAGGACAGCGAAAAAGAAATTGAGCTTCGTCTTCTATCAGAGTGGATCCGCAAAAAGGGATTATCCTTCGTAGTTTGATTATAAGTATCTACCCAATTCTATCATTAGTTTCTTCGTTAACTTTAATAGCGATTGGCGCTTTGAAAGAGGGTTTAGTCGGTGCAGTCTGTTTTAGCAGCTTTCAGTGTATTGTACAGTGCAAATTTAACTTATTTCTTCAGAAACGGTAACATGATTATGCTTCTTATGATAAAACTGCAATTTTTGACGAGCAACATGACCATGTTTTGCGTAAAAGTTGTTGCCACTAGGCTAAGACCGAAATAAAACACAGTGACCATGCAACTGGTCTGTTTAGCATGCACTTACCTCACTCTGCCACCACTGCATGTTTCATCCTGACTAGTGTAACTCCTACTCTCCCCCTGGGTTGAAATTACTCCTTACTTCGGTCGCGCCGAAAATTCAGACGTCATCGGAGAGAAGTTATTCGAAATGCTGAAATTTCCCGCGCCTCAAAGCTACTGTTTCACGTTGATGTCGTCCGGTACAAGGCAAGAAATAATAAAGAATAACATGAATACAGAATAATACCTATTGTTCTCATATTCGGGCCGCTTTTCTTGATACGAACGAGATCTGTTCGTTGCCCAATCCAAATCAAATTGCTGTAGTATTAGTTTTAGTGGTACATTTACCGATTACTCAACAAGAAGAGCTAACTAAAAGAAGTAGCATCCGAACAACGGGCCCGGTTGCATACGACGCCCGTAACAATTACGGGTATTCGTTCGTGTACTCCTAACTTAAGTGAGTTGCATTAAATCAATTAAGTGGTCCACGTAAGGATTTCACTTAAAAATGACTGCACTTACGATTTTCGTAAGTATCCACTTAAGTGTCATTTATGCAACAGAAAATGGGGGTGTTGCATAAAACTTTTTTTACGGGAAAAATAGCACGTAAATTTACGGGACCTGTACCCTTACTGAATATACTAAAGTTAATGAGATCTTTTACTGCGAAGTGAAAAAAAAAATTATTTACGTAATTCCGTTCTAATGCGCTTTGTTAACCTCTGATGTTCACTTTATTTCAAGCCGTCCCTGAGAAAAAAGTAGAAAATACAACAAACATTATCAGTAAATATTGCAGTAAAATAACGATGGCATGCAAACGTATTTCAACGAAAGTCAACGGACTTTGATGAGTTGCACTCATAGGA